ACTGGAGGAGCAGCACTAACGGGGTGGTACTTGAGGAGCAGCAGTCACGGGGTGGTACTTGAGGAGCAGCACTCACGGGGTGGCACTTGAGGAGCAGCACTCACGGGGTGGTACTTGAGGAGCAGCACTCACGGAGTGGTACTTGAGGAGCAACATTCACGGGGTGGTACTTGAGGAGTAGCACTCATGGGGTGGTACTTGAGGAGCAGCACTCACGGGGTGGTACATGAGGAGCAGCACTCACGGGGTGGTACTTGAGGAGCAGCACTCACGGGGTGGTAGTTGAGGAGCAGCACTCACGGGGTGGTACTGGAGGAGCAGCACTCACGGGGTGGTACTTGAGGAGCAGCACTCACGGGGTGGTACTTGAGGAGCAGCACTCACGGGGTGGTACTTGAGGAGCAGCACTCACGCGGTGGTACTTGAGGAGTAGCACTCAAGGGGTGGCACTTGAGGAGCAGCACCCACGGGTTGGTACTTGAGGAGCGGCACTCACGGGGTGGCACTTGAGGAGCAGCACTCACGGGGTGGTACTTGAGGAGCAGCACTAACGGGGTGGTACTTGAGGACTAGCACTCACAGGGTGGTACTTGAGGAGCAGCACTCACGTGGTGGTACTTGAGGAGCAGAACTCACGGTGTGGTACTTGAGGAGCAGCACTCACGGGGTGGTACTTGAGGAGCAGCAGTCACGGGGTGGCACTTGAGGAGCAGCACTCACGGGGTGGCACTTGAGGAGCAGCACTCACGGGGTGGTACTTGAGGAGCAGCAGTCACGGGGTGGTACTTGAGGAGCAGCACTCACGGGGTGGTACTTGAGGAGTAGCACTCACGGGGTGGTTCGTGAGGAGCAGCACTCACGGGGTGGTACTTGAGGAGCAGCACTCACGGGGTGGTACTTGAGGAGTAGCACTCACGGGGTGGCACTTGAGGAGCAGCACTCACGGGGTGCTACTTGAGGAGTAGCACTCACGGGGTGGCACTTGAGGAGCAGCACTCACGGGGTGGTACTTGAGGAGCAGCACTCACGGGGTGGTACTTGAGGAGCAGCACTCACGGGGTGGTACTGGAGGAGCAGCACTAACGGGGTGGTACTTGAGGAGCAGCACTCACGGGGTGGTACTTGAGGAGCAGCACTCACGGGGTGGTACTTGAGGAGTAGCACTCACGGGGTGGTACTTGAGGAGCAGCACTGATGGGATGGTACTTGAGGAGCAGCAGTCACGGGGTGGTACTTGAGGAGCAGCACTCACGGGGTGGCACTTGAGGAGCAGCACTCACGGGGTGGTACTTGAGGAGCAGCACTCACGGAGTGGTACTTGAGGAGCAACATTCACGGGGTGGTACTTGAGGAGTAGCACTCACGGGGTGGTACTTGAGGAGCAGCACTCACGGGGTGGTACATGAGGAGCAGCACTCACGGGGTGGTACTTGAGGAGCAGCACTCACGGGGTGGTAGTTGAGGAGCAGCACTCACGGGGTGGTACTGGAGGAGCAGCACTAACGGGGTGGTACTTGAGGAGCAGCACTCACGGGGTGGTACTTGAGGAGCAGCACTCACGGGGTGGTACTTGAGGAGTAGCACTCACGGGGTGGTTCATGAGGAGCAGCACTCACGGGGTGGTACTTGAGGAGCAGCACTCACGGGGTGGTACTTGAGGAGTAGCACTCACGGGGTGGCACTTGAGGAGCAGCACTAACGGGGTGCTACTTGAGGAGTAGCACTCACGGGGTGGCACTTGAGGAGCAGCACTCACGGGGTGGTACTTGAGGAACAGCACTAACGGGGTGGTACTTGAGGACTAGCACTCACGGGGTGGTACTTGAGGAGCAGCACTCACGTGGTGGTACTTGAGGAGCAGCACTCACGGGGTGGTACTTGAGGAGCAGCACTCACGGGGTGGTACTTGAGGAGCAGCACTCACGGGGTGGTACTTGAGGAGCAGCACTCACGGGGTGGTACTTGAGGAGCAGCAGTCACGGGGTGGTACTTGAGGAGCAGCACTCATGGGGTGGTACTTGAGGAGCAGCACTCACGGGGTGGTACTTGAGGAGCAGCACTCACGGGGTGGTACTTGAGGAGCAGCACTCACGGGGTGGTACTTGAGGAGCAGCAGTCACGGGGTGGTACTTGAGGAGCAGCACTCACGGGGTGGCACTTGAGGAGCAGCACTCACGGGGTGGTACTTGAGGAGCAGCACTCACGGAGTGGTACTTGAGGAGCAACATTAACGGGGTGGTACTTGAGGAGTAGCACTCACGGGGTGGTACTTGAGGAGCAGCACTCACGGGGTGGTACATGAGGAGCAGCACTCACGGGGTGGTACTTGAGGAGCAGCACTCACGGGGTGGTAGTTGAGGAGCAGCACTCATGGGGTGGTACTTGAGGAGCAGCACTCACGGGGTGGTACTTGAGGAGCAGCACTCACAGGGTGGTACTTGAGGAGCAGCACACACGGGGTGGTACTTGAGGAGCACCACTCACGGGGTGGTACTTGAGGAGCAGCAGTCACGGGGTGGTACTTGAGGAGCAGCACTCATGGGGTGGTACTTGAGGAGCAGCACTCACGGGGTGGTACTTGAGGAGCAGCACTCACGGGGTGGTACTTGAGGAGCAGCACTCATGGGGTGGTACTTGAGGAGCAGCAGTCACGGGGTGGTACTTGAGGAGCAGCACTCACGGGGTGGCACTTGAGGAGCAGCACTCACGGGGTGGTACTTGAGGAGCAGCAGTCACGGGGTGGTACTTGAGGAGCAGCACTCACGGGGTGGTACTTGAGGAGTAGAACTCACGGGGTAGCACTTTAGGAGCAGCACTCACGGGGTGGTACTTGAGGAGTAGCACTCACGGGCTGGCACTTCAGTAGCAGCACATACGGGGTGGTACTTGAGGAGCAGCACTCACGGGGTGGTACTTCAGGAGCAGCACTCACGGGGTGGCACTTGATGAGGAGCACTCACGGGATGGTACTTGAGGAGCAGCACTAGCGGGGTGGTACTTGAGGAGGAGCACTTCGGGGTGGTACTTGAGGAGCAGCACTCACGGGTTGGTACTTGAGGAGCAGCACTCACGGGGTGGTACTTGAGGAGCAGCACTCACAGGGTGGTACTTGAGGAGCAGCAGTCACGGGGTGGTACTTGAGGAGCAGCACTCACGGGGTGGCACTTGAGGAGCAGCACTCACGGGGTGGTACTTGAGGAGCAGCAGTCACGGGGTGGTACTTGAGGAGCAGCACTCATGGGGTGGTACTTGAGGAGTAGCACTCACGGGGTGGTTCGTGAGGAGCAGCACTCACGGGGTGGTACTTGAGGAGCAGCACTCACGGGGTGGTACTTGAGGAGTAGCACTCACGGGGTGGCACTTGAGGAGCAGCACTCACGGGGTGCTACTTGAGGAGTAGCACTCACGGGGTGGCACTTGAGGAGCAGCACTCACGGGGTGGTACTTGAGGAGCAGCACTAACGGTGTGGTACTTGAGGACTAGCACTCACGGGGTGGTACTTGAGGAGCAGCACTCACGGGCTGGTACTTGAGGAGCAGCACTCACGGGATGGCACTTGAGGAGCAGCACTTACGGGATGGTACTTGAGGAGCAGCACTAACGGGGTGGTACTTGAGGAGGAGCACTTACGGGGTGGTACTTGAGGAGCAGCACTCACGGGGTGGTACTTGAGGAGCAGCACTCATGGGGTGGTACTTGAGGACTAGCACTCACGGGGTGGTACTTGAGGAGCAGCACTCACGGGGTGGTACTTGAGGAGCAGCACTGACAGGGTGGTACTTGAGGAGCAGCACTCACAGGGTGGTACTTGAGGAGCAGTACTCACGGGGTGGTACTTGAGGAGTAGCACTCACGGGGTGGCACTTGAGGAGCAGCACTCACGGGGTGGTACTTGAGGAGCAGCACTTACGGGGTGGTACTTGAGGAGCAGCACTCACGGGGTGGTACTTGAGGAGTAGCACTCACGGGGTGGTACTTGAGGAGCAGCACTCACGGGGTGGTACTTGAGGAGCAGCACTCACGGGGTGGTACTTGAGGAGCAGCACTCACGGGGTGGTACTTGAGGAGCAGCACTCACGGGGTGGTACTTGAGGAGTAGCACTCACGGGGTGGCACTTGAGGAGCAGCACTCACGGGGTGGTACTTGAGGAGCGGCACTCACGGGGTGGCACTTGAGGAGTGGCACTCACGGGGTGGTACTTGAGGAGTGGCACTAACGGGGTGGTACTTGAGGACTAGCACAAAGGGGGATGGTACTTGAGGAGCAGCACTCACGTGGTGGTACTTGAGGAGCAGCACTCACGGGGTGGTACTTGAGGAGCAGCAGTCACGGGGTGGTACTTGAGGAGTTGCACTCACGGGGTGGTACTTGAGGAGCAGCACTCACGGGGTGGTACTTGAGGAGTAGCACTCACGGGGTGGTACTTGAGGAGCAGCACTCATGGGGTGGTACTTGAGGAGCATCCCTCACGGGGTGGTACTTGAGGAGCAGCATTCACGGGGTGGTACTTGAGGAGCAGCACTCACGGGGTGGTACTTGAGGAGTAGCACTCACGGGGTGGTACTTGAGGAGCAGCACTGATGGGATGGTACTTGAGGAGCAGCAGTCACGGGGTGGTACTTGAGGAGCAGCACTCACGGGGTGGCACTTGAGGAGCAGCACTCACGGGGTGGTACTTGAGGAGCAGCACTCACGGAGTGGTACTTGAGGAGCAACATTCACGGGGTGGTACTTGAGGAGTAGCACTCACGGGGTGGTACTTGAGGAGCAGCACTCACGGGGTGGTACATGAGGAGCAGCACTCACGGGGTGGTACTTGAGGAGCAGCACTCACGGGGTGGTAGTTGAGGAGCAGCACTCACGGGGTGGTACTGGAGGAGCAGCACTAACGGGGTGGTACTTGAGGAGCAGCACTCACGGGGTGGTACTTGAGGAGCAGCACTCACGGGGTGGTACTTGAGGAGTAGCACTCACGGGGTGGTTCATGAGGAGCAGCACTCACGGGGTGGTACTTGAGGAGCAGCACTCACGGGGTGGTACTTGAGGAGTAGCACTCACGGGGTGGCACTTGAGGAGCAGCAATAACGGGGTGCTACTTGAGGAGTAGCACTCACGGGGTGGCACTTGAGGAGCAGCACTCACGGGGTGGTACTTGAGGAACAGCACTAACGGGGTGGTACTTGAGGACTAGCACTCACGGGGTGGTACTTGAGGAGCGTCCGAGCAGCGGGTCACCCGCTGACTCCCAGGAGTAAACTGGTGAACCCCTGCATCCTGTAGGTCAGCACCACTCACCAAGGACAGGACCCCCATAGGGGTCTGCCAGGGAGACTCCAACCGGCCGACCAAGCGGCGTGAGTGTGGTGCGGTCTTGAAAGAAGGAGCGAGAAGCCCCTGAGTCAAGTGTGAAGGTGAGGGAGGCCAAAGCCGATGCGGTACCTGAGAGCGCAAACTCACCAGCACCTGAGGACGCAGACGCACTGGCACCTGGAGCAACAGCCGCAGTGGCACCTGGAGCAGCAGCCTCACCAGCACCTAGAGCAGCAGTCTCAATGCCCGAGTCGGGCGGGAACCACCGGTAACAGTCACCCTAATCACTAATCGTCACAGCATACATGACAGCAAGAATAGCATCAAAGTCAAGATCATAGATAGCTACACCTGCCCTAGACAGCTCTCCCTAGCGGGGGATCTCAGTGGCCTCCGAGAACTGGTGACGCCAAGCGTCCGTCAGGCACCCAAAGTAGCGCTGGGTGGGGTGGGTACCCCCACACTGCTCACCCGCGCGGTCGCCGGTGCGAAGGACGTAGGTGCACGGACCAAAACCCCCACCACGCTGACGTGCAGCGTACCACTCACGGAGCTGCGGAGGGGGGGGGATGTCCCGAGAACGCTGCTGCTATTGCTGCTGGCGCTGACCACCACCGGAGCCGCTCCGTTGCGAAGCACCACCCTGACCAGCTCCACCTCCTCCACCACCGCCTCCCCCACCTCCGCCACCACAGCCGCCTCCGCTCCCACCGCTACCACCTCCGCCACCTGCGCCTCCACTGCTGCCACCGACACCTCCACCCCCGCCACCACTCCCACCGCCACCCCCACTCCCTCCTCCGCCTCCACCGCCACCTCCACCACCCCCGCTAGCTCCACCCGCGCCCTTGCCATCCTTGCCCTTGCTAGAGTGGCGTCTCCCGCTAGGGGCAGACGCCACACCGATCGACTCAAGACCAACGAGGTCGGCCGCAGCAGCAGAGGCGACAGAGGGCAAAAGGGGGGAAGGGGAACACCCCTCAAAGATGGGGGTGCGAGGGTCACCACGAGAGGCTCCTACAACGACTATGCTCTTCTGCGTTGCTAGGAGGGCCTTCTCGAGGAGGTCAACAGTGAGAGTGGTGGGACACACTGAGAGGAAGTGGTCCCTGACTACACGAAGGGAGTCAGGGAGGCGGGTGACTATATAATAGAGAGTGATGTACATGGGGGGGGGTTCTTGGCGCAGAACTCAGCAGGAAGCGCAGCGCGGTAGCGAGTGTCACTAGTGCGGAGGTGCGTAATGAGGTCAGCGACTGTGGGAAAGGCAGCAAGGTCCGGGAAGAGGTACGGTAGCATGAGGTGTGAGTACACCTGAATGATGCATGTGGGGTGAGTACACCTGTATGATGCATGTGGGGTGAGTACCCCTGTATGATGCGTGTGGGATGAGTACCCCTGTATGATGCATGTGGGGTGAGTACCCCTGTATGATGCATGTGGGGTGAGTACCCCTGTACAATGCATGTGGGGTGAGTACACCTGTCCTGTACAATGCATATGAGGTGAGTACATCTGTCCTGTACAATGCATGTGGGGTGAGTACACCTGTCCTGTACAATGCATCTGCGGTGAGTAAACAAGTATAGTGGGCCCACACCAGTGCTCCACCCAAGCCTCTCGACCCTCGCTGCAATCCCAACCTCCTCACGTTCCCCACCCTCTCCCCGAACCCTCAACCAGTGTCCCATGCACCACGCACCCCAGTCCCTGCCACTCTCCCCTCTCTCACATTGCAGGGAGGCGAGTCGCATGTGAGGCCCATGGCCAGCTGCGTGCCTGACTCCTGCAGGTGAGGGAGGGAAGGGGGAAGGGGTAAGGCGGAAGGGGGAAGGGGGAAGGGGTAAGGCGGAAGGGGGAAGGGGGAAGGGGTAAGGCGGAAAGGGGGAGGGGTAAGGCGGAAGGAGGAAGGGGGAAGGGGTAAGGGGGAAGGGGTAATGCGGAAGGGGGGAGGGGTAAGGCGGAAGGAGGAAGGGGGAAGGGGTAAGGCGGAAGGGGGAAGGGGGAAGGGGTAAGGCGGAAGGTGGAAGGGGAAAGGGGTAAGGCGGAAGGGGGAAGGGGGAAGGGGTAAGGCGGAAGGGGGAAGGGGGAAGGGGAAGGAGAGGAGAGGGGTGCAGGATGGTGGGGTTTGATGATGCAAGGAGGTGAATCGCATGTGAGGGCCACGGCTAGCTGAACGCTGTATTCCCGAGTGAGGAGGGGTTGGGGGAGCAGGGTAGAGCAAGAGGGAGTATACTACACAACACGGGGTGGCAGGCGATGCATGTAATGAGTCGACTCAAAAATCGACTCACTACAAGCAAGGTCGAGCACGAGGGAGTATACTACACAACACGGGGTGGCAGGCAATGCATGTAGTGAGTCGACTAAAAAATCGACTCACTACAAGCAGGATAGAGCACGAGGGAGTATACTACACAACACGGGGTGGCAGGCGATGCATGTAGTGAGTCGACTCAAAAATCGACTCGCTACAAGCAGGGTAGAGCACGAGGGAGTATACTACACAACACGGGGTGGCAGGCGAGGCATGTAGTGAGTCGACTCAAAAATCGACTCACTACAAGCAGGATAGAGCACAAGGGAGTATACTACACAACACGGGGTGGCAGGCGATGCATGTAGTGAGTCGACTCAAAAATCGACTCGCTACAAGCAGGGTAGAGCACGGGGGAGTATACTACACAACACGGGGTGGCAGGCAATGCATGTAGTGAGTCGACTCAAAAATCGACTCACTACAAGCAGGGTAGAGCACAAGGGAGTATACTACACAACACTGGGTGGCAGGCGATGCATGTAGTGAGTCGAATAAAAAATCGACTCACTACAAGTAGGGTAGAGCACGAGGGAGTATACTACACAACACGGGGTGGCAGGCGATGCATGTGAGCAGCAACAATCACGGGTGGCATGCAATGCACATAGGATCACTCACACGGTGTGAGTAGCTCTCACAGCATGGTGAGTAGCTCCTACAGGGAGGCATGCAAACCACACAGTGCAGAGGGCAGCACTCACGGGGTGGTACTTGAGGAGCAGCACTCACGGGGTGGTACTTGAGGAGCAGCACTCACGTCGTGGTACTTGAGGAGCAGCACTCACGGGGTGGTACTTGAGGGGCAGCACTCACGGGGTGGTACTTGAGGAGCAGCACTCACGGGGTGGTAATTGAGGAGCAGCACTCACGGGGTGGTACTTGAGGAGCAGCACTCACGGGTTGGTGCTTGAGGAGCAGCACTCACGGGGTGGTACTTGAGGAGCAGCACTCACGGGGTGGTACTTGAGGAGTAGCACTCACGGGGTGGTACTTGAGGAGCAGCACTCACGGGGTCGTACTTGAGGAGCAGCACTCACGGGGTGGTACTTGAGGAGCAGCACTCACGGGGTGGTACTTGAGGAGCAGCACTAACGGGGTGGTACTTGAGGAGCAGCACTCACGGGGTGGTACTTGAGGAGTAGCACTCACGGGGTGGCACTTGAGGAGCAGCACTGACGGGGTGGTACTTGAGGAGCGGCACTCACGGGGTGGCACTTGAGGAGCGGCACTCACGGGGTGGTACTTGAGGAGCAGCACTCACGGGGTGGTACATGAGGACTAGCACTCACGGGGTGGTACTTGAGGAGCAGCACTCACGCGGTGGTACTTGAGGAGCAGCACTCACGGGGTGGTACTTGAGGAGCAGCACTCACGGGGTGGTACTTGAGCAGTAGCACTCACGGGGTGGTACTTGAGGAGCAGCACTCACGGGGTGGTACTTGAGGAGCAGCACTCACGGGGTGTTACTTGAGCAGCAGCACTCACGGGGTGGTACATGAGGAGCAGCACTCACGGGGTGGCACTTGAGGAGCAGCACTCACGGGGTGGTACTTGAGGAGCAGCACTCACGGGGTGGCACTTGAGGAGCAGCACTCACGGGGTGGCACTTGAGGAGCAGCACTAACGGGGTGGTACTTGAGGAGTAGCACTAACGGGGTGGTACTTGAGGAGCAGCACTCACGGGGTGGTACTTGAGGAGTAGCACTCACGGGGCAGAACTTGAGGAGCAGCACCCACGGGGTGGTACTTGAGGAGCAGCACTCACGGGGTGGTACTTGAGGAGCAGCACTCACGGGGTGGCACTTGAGGAGCAGCACTCACGGGGTGGTACTTGAGGAGCAGCACTCACGGGGTGGTACTTGAGGGGTAGCACTAACGGGGTGGTACTTGAGGAGTAGCACTCACAAGGTGGTACTTGAGGAGCAGCACTCACGAGGTGGCACTTGAGGAGCAGCACTCATGGGGTGATATTTGAGGAGCAGCACTCACGGGGTGGTACTTGAGGAGTAGGACTAACGGGGTGGTACTTGAGGAGTAGCACTCACGGGGTGGTACTTGAGGAGCAGCACTCACGGGGTGGTACTTGAGGAGCAGCACTCACAGGGTGGTACATGAGGAGCAGAACTCACGGGGTGGTACTAGAGGAGTAGCACTTACGGGGTGGCACTTGAGGAGCAGCACTCACGGGGTGGTACTTGAGGAGCAGCACTCACGGGGTGGTACTTGAGGAGTAGCACTAACGGGGTGGTACTAGAGGAGTAGCACTTACGGGGTGGCACTTGAGGAGCAGCACTCTCGGGGTGGTACTTGAGGAGCAGCACTCACAGGGTGGTACTTGAGGAGCAGCACTCACGGGGTGGTACATGAGGAGCAGCACTCACGGGGTGGTACTAGAGGAGTAGCACTTACGGGGTGGCACTTGAGGAGCAGCACTCTCGAGGTGGTACTTGAGGAGCAGCACTAACAGGGTGGTACTTGAGGAGTAGCACTAACGGGGTGGTACTTGAGGAGCAGCACTCACGGGGTGGTACTTGAGGAGTAGCACTCACGGGGTGGAACTTGAGGAGCAGCACCCACGGGGTGGTACTTGAGGAGCAGCACTCACGGGGTGGTACTTGAGGAGCAGCACTCACGGGGTGGCACTTGAGGAGCAGCACTCACGGGGTGGTACTTGAGGAGCAGCACTCACGGGTTGGTACTTGAGGAGTAGCACTAACGGGGTGGTACTTGAGCAGAAGCACTCATGGGGTGGTACTTGAGGAGCAGCACTCACGGGGTGGTACATGAGGAGCAACACTCACGGGGTGGTACTTGAGGAGCAGCACTCACAGGGTGGTACATGACGAGCAGCACTCACGGGGTGGTACTTGAGGAGTAGCACTTACGGGGTGGCACTTGAGAAGCAGCACTCAAGGGGTGGTACTTGAGGAGCTGCACTCACGGGGTGGCACTTGAGGAGCAGCACTCACGGGGTGGTACTTGAGGAGCAGCACTCACGGGGTGGTACTTGAGGAGTAGCACTCACGGGGTGGTACTTGAGGAGCAGCACTCACGGGGTGGTACTTGAGGAGTAGCACTCACGGGGTGGCACTTGAGGAGCAGCACTCACGGGGTGGTACTTGAGGAGCGGCACTCACGGGGTGGCACTTGAGGAGCAGCACTCACGGGGTGGTACTTGAGGAGAAGCACTACCGGGGTGGTACTTGAGCACTAGCACTCACAGGGTGGTACTTGAGGAGCTGCACTCACAGGTTGGTACTTGAGGAGCAGCACTCACGGGGTGGTACTTGAGGAGCAGCACTAACGGGGTAGTACTTGAGGAGCAGCACTCACAGGGTGGTACTTGAGGAGCAGCACTCACAGGGTGGTACTTGAGGAGCGGCACTCACGGGGTGGCACTTAAGGAGCAGCACTCACGGGGTGGTACTTGAGGAGAAGCACTACCGGGGTGGTACTTGAGGAGTAGCACTAACGGGGTGGTACTTGAGGAGCAGCACTCACGGGGTGGCACTTGAGGAGCAGCACTCACGGGGTGGTACTTGAGGAGCAGCACTCACGGGTTGGTACTTGAGGAGTAGCACTAACGGGGTGGTACTTGAGCAGAAGCACTCACGGGGTGGTACTTGAGGAGCAGCACTCACGGGGTGGTACATGAGGAGCAACACTCACGGGGTGGTACTTGAGGAGCAGCACTTACAGGGTGGTACATGACGAGCAGCACTCACGGGGTGGTACTTGAGGAGCAGCAGTCACGGGATGGTACTTTAGGAGCAGCACTCACGGGGTGGTACTTGAGGAGCAGCACTCACGGGGTGGTACTTGAGGAGCAGCACTAACGGGATGGTACTTGAGGAGCAGCACTCACAGGGTGGTACTTGAGGAGTAGCACTCGCACTAACGGGGTGGTACTTGAGGAGCAGCACTCACGGGGTGGTACTTGAGGAGCAGCACTCACGGGGTGGTACTTGAGGAGCAGCACTCATGGGGTGGTACTTGAGGAGCAGCACTAACGGGGTGGTACTTGAGGAGCGGCACTCACGGGGTGGCACTTGAGGAGCAGCACTCACAGGGTGGTACTTGAGGAGCAGCACTCGCGGGGTGGTACTTGAGGAGCAGCACTCACGGGGTGGTACTTGAGGAGCGGCACTCACGGGGTGGCACTTGAGGAGCAGCACTCACAGGTTGGTACTTGAGGAGCAGCACTCGCGGGGTGGTACTTGAGGAGCAGCAATCACGGGGTGGTACTTGAGGAGCAGCACTCATGGGGTGGTACTTGAGGAGCAGCACTCACGGGGTGGCACTTGAGGAGCAGCACTCACAGGATGGTACTTGAGAAGCAGCACTAACGGGGTGGTACTTGAGGAGCAGCACTAACGGGGTGGTACTTGAGGAGCAGCACTAACGGGGTGGTACTAGAGGAGCAGCACTCACGGGGTTGTACTTGAGGAGTAGCACTCATGGGGTGGCACTTGAGGAGCAGCACTCACGGGGTGGTACTTGAGGAGCAGCACTCACGGGGTGGCACTTGAGGAGCAGCACTCACGAGGTGGTACTTGAGGAGCAGCACTCACGGGGTTGCACTTGAGGAGCAGCGCTCACGGGGTGGCACTTGAGGAGCAGCACTCACGGGGTGGTACTTGAGGAGCAGCACTCACGGGGTGGTACTTGAGGAGCAGCACTCACGGGGTGGTACTTGAGGAGCAGCACTCACGGGGTGGTACTTGAGGAGCAGCAGTCACGGGGTGGTACTTGAGGAGCAGCACTCACAGGGTGGCACTCGAGGAGCAGCACTCACGGGGTGGTACTTGAGGAGCAGCACTCACGGGGTGGTACTT